CAAAGCTTGTGAGAGTCTTACTTTTCAGTTTCTAGTTATGGAACTATATTTCCTTCTTATTTTATAGTCTCCAAATTAATAATGGCTTTTAGATATTTTTCCCAATGCTTAACAAATATCTGTATTTGTCATCGGATTCCACATTCTTTATTGCAGCTATCATTTGTATTTCATCTATATTAAGTATAAAGTGACAAGGCTTATCAATTTTGCTTTAAGTAGTTATATGCCATTTTTTCAATTGAGAACAATGAAAAAATCTTTCATATCTACCAAATAGGTGCTTTTCCAAAATTCTTCATTTCTTTCTTCTAAGGATAATCACTGTGGAGTTTTCCTCTGGCAATGTTTTAGTTTGTTCTAAAAACCTATTTTAGCATTTCCTTTAGACAAGCTTGCTAGCCATGACTTTTTTTAAAGGTCTTTTATGTGAAACTCTATTTAACTTCAATCCTAGAAGACATTTTCAGTGCATGTCGAATTCTGGAGTGACATTTATCTAGGGTTTAAAATATGGTTTCACAGTCTTGTTCTGAGTATAATAGTTTTGGTAAATCAGACATATTTCAGACTTTTACTATTACATGCGGCCAGTAATTTATTGAGATATGTTCTTTCTGGCCTAGCATTTAGTAAATTTTATTAACTATTAGATGGAGTTTTGAAAACAAATCATTGGCTATTAAACTATTTCTCTCCTCCTCACCCCTCACCCCTCTCTCATGGACAAATCCATCCATACATGTATAAATATATTGAGGCTCATATTTACACTTACAATGGAAGTTTCTGGATTATTTTTTTCTGAAAGTTTTTGTTTATATGGTATAATTGTGTATAATTTTTAAGGACATCCCTCAAGCCTGGAATTTTTAATGAATGGTATTGATCAACTTTCATCACTGTGATAAAATTCTTGAGAAAATCAAATTAAGGGAGGAATGATTTATTTTGGCTCATGGCTTCAGACGTTTCTGTCCATGGTTGTCTGGCTCCCTTATTGTTAATGCTGTGGCAAAGGAGAGGGAATGGAGGAAGGGCCATGGTGGAAGAAAGCTGCTGACCTCATAGGACCCAGAAGCAGAGACAGAGAATGACAGGAGGCCCCATGGACAATTTACACTCTTCAGAGGCCTTCTTCTTCCAGCCAGGCCCCACTGCCTGAAAACTCATGTACGCCTCAATGGATGAACCTATTGATACAGTTAGTACCCTCAAGATCCAGTCACCTCTATCTGGGGACTCCTTCAACATTGTGAGCCTTTTACAGGGTGGCATTTCGTATTATAATTGTAATAGGTATTTTAACTTTTTAAAAATATACATTTCATTTATTTTTTATGTGTATGAGTATATTGCCTGCATTGTGTAAGTACACCTGTGTCATGCAATGCTGGTGGAGGTCAGAAGAGGGTCACAGATCCCTGGAACTGGAGTTACAGATGGTTGTCGGCCACCGTGTGGGTGCTGGGAATCAAACCCAGGTCCTCTGCAAGAGTAATTAGTGCTCTTAACCACTGAGCCATCTCTCTAGTCCAAATTAACTTATATTCTTAAATACTTGTTTCATACTTTCTCTTTTTATTTTATTTTTTTAAGACGTTAACATCATGACTCCTGTATTTTTGCCCTTGTGACTAGCAATAGTTGATATATATGATAATTCATCTGTTTTCTGGTTTGCTATTCTGGCAATGCAGATATACCTACACACCAAAGTTTGATTCATTTTTTTCCACATTTTTCAAAACCATTTTTTAAGTAAAAATAACAAATTTTTTCCTATTAGAAAAATTATGTTTCTATTAAGAAAAAAATGCATATAGTAAAGGGTATTAAGTAAATTTTTCTTCTCTCAATATTACTGAATTAAATTACTCAGATATATGAATTTTATTGTTAAGATGCTTCCACTGTACATGGAGTAACAGCTAAAAGCATCTTTAATTTCTCCATATATCCTCTAACCCTAACTATTCAATACCTTTGTCCGTGTCTAAATCAACATTCCTCAGCAGCTCTAAGCAATACTATCAGCATATTTTACAACATATTCTGTATATTTACATGCATGTGTATTATTTCTAAAACATCCTAGCTTTATAGAATTCTTAATAAATTTGTCATGCTGTATGCCTTTGTAGCCCTGTAAATTTTTGAACTTTAAGTCTTTATGAAATAGTACATGTGGGCCTATCATATTTACTACCATTTTTAATGATCATATATTCACTGTAGGTGGTATCAAAATTTATAACTTTTATTTATTTTAGAGATCTTTTCCAAATTATTTTTCTATTGAAAAAATAGGAAGTCAGTTATGATTTAAGACTCCTTTTGCAAATGGTATAAAGTACTAGAATATTTAATATGCTGTTTAGAAATATAATGCATGGTTGAATGGGCTGTAGATTAAGTATTTTAATAAACATTGCCATATTATTTTTCCAAATAACTATATATAGTTATACTTGAAATGACAGTATTATGGAGTAAAAATTTCCCTATACCTTAGCTGCCCAGACCACGCTGTTTATCAATATGTCTAGTTATTGTCCGATAAGAAAAAACAGATTGCATTAATTTTTATTTTCTTTGTTTCTTTCTTTCCTCCTTTCTTTTTGTTTTTTTTTTTGTGCATGAATATTATGCCTGCGTGTGTGTAAGTGCACCTGTGTCATGCAGTGCCCACAGAGGCGAGAAGAGGGCATTGGATCCCCTGGAACCAGAGTTATGGACAGTTATCAACTGCCATATGGGTGCTAGGATTAGAACCCTGGTCTTCTGCAAGAGTAGCCAGTGCTCTTAATCACTGAGCCATCTCTCCAGCCCTAATAAATTTTATTTTCTTTATCAATAAGATGTAATATTTTTACAGCACTTGCCACATTTGCAACTCCAGATTCTGTGTCATTATTTTATGGCATCTGCATGTGGCTATAGATTTGATTTTGCTTCCCAGTGTACCCTTCTACCTGTCATTTTATATATACAAATAAACATGTCACATTTCTATATATCAACATATAAAAATGTGTGCATATGTGGTATACTCAATGATTGGAAAAGTTGGATTTTATATTCTTATTAAATTGCCTGTTCATCATATTGTTCCATGACAATTATTTTGCTTTAGTATTTTTTTATTTATCATTAAATGTTCTTAATACACTATACATATGACAACTCTCTCCCATGGGTTTTTTCTCCTACTGGCTAGAGCTTTAAAATTTTTAATCCTTGTTGAAGCTTTCTTTTTCTTTCTTTCTCTTTCTTTCTTTCTTTCTCTCCCTCCCTCCCTCCTTTCTTTCTTTCTTTCTTTTTATTTTTTTGACCTGTTTTTACATTTGTGTGGTATTCATATCCAGGTTTTCTTTTGTCATCGATGAGTTGTCTGCTAGTAGTTTTCCAGGAGCAAAAGAAATGCAGGAACTCCATAATTCAATGATTTGTAATTCAGTATCCCGATAATTGCACAGAGCTCCATCCTGGTCTTTGTGTCTCGTTTTCTTTCTCCTTTGAAGTACGTTGGCTCTGATGACTTGTTTCCCTGTTCCTCCACTTTCCTTCATGATGGAATCTCATCTACTGTCTGCTGTCCAGCAGCTTCCCACTTACAACACACTTTATCCTCACCCCCATTTCTAAAATGGGTTGTTCTCTTCAAACATTCTGCCTTTAATCCCAGTGGAGCAGCAGGACTGAGCAGTGGTTCAGGGATAGCATGAAATGCTTAGCTCAGAGTTGCCATCCAATCTCAAAGTTTCTAAGAAATCAGAACTGAACAAAAAAGTATGACCACATTTCTAATACTTAAAGGCCAACTACAAATTGCAAAGCATAACTCCAAATCAAAATTGTACTGGTAAGTCAGAGAATGGTTAAATCACTAACATGGAGATTGATTGAAGCGTGTGCATTCGTGTGACATTTTCAATAAAGGCAACCAATCCATTTTCATTTATATATTGGTATACAGGTATTAGATTTGTTTTTTTCACTACTTTTGGTAGTTATTAAAAATAAATTCTTTATGACTTCAGGAAAACCAGAGTAAGCTCTTTGCTCCATGGGAAACAACACAGAGGAGGTAAACTTTCTTTTCTTATACATACAGCCAGGTTTACAGGCACCAGGACTTCCTATTGGACACTATTCCATGTCCTATATTTGCTCAGATAAGGCCATCTGTCATAATGAGCTTTCTGTTGCTATAACAAAATACCCAAAGCTGAGTATACATAAAAGATGCTTATTTAGCTGACTGTTTTGGAGGCTGAAACTAATCGATTAGGTAGCTTCACCTGCTTGGCCTCTAGTGAGGGTCCAAAAGGGCTGTGCTCAGGAGAAGCCAAGAAAATTGGCTAGCCTTGACTTAGAGCATTCCATTTGCACAAGAAAAAATGGGAGTCTGCAAGAAGTGTAAACTATTATAAATCCCTTCCCAAGGTGGTCATCTCAAGGACGCAACCCTTTTCCACTAGGCTTTCTCACCTCAACATTGCCACACTGGAGACAAGCTTCCAGCACAGACACCTTTGGGAGGCACATCAAACCACAACCAATCCACACTGTTTTCCTATGGAACATGCTTCACCTTATTAAAGGTCATTTTGGGGTTGTAAAAAAACACTGGGTCCAAGTGCTTTTATGTTTCCTACACTGTCTTTGGACCATGTACTCTTCACATACCTGATCAAACTGGTAACCTTGTTTGCCTTTGATCTTGGGGGTAATTCCCAAACTCTGTTCTAGTCTATTTGTATTATTAGTGGTACCTAGAGCTCTTTTGGTCTTTGGGGTTGATCTTATTTGATTTATACATCTGCCCAAGCATTCTGAATACTCATCAGTTTTCCTGCTCTGTTCTTTCATACTTTTACATTTGTTTATCACCTTGTCGTGTGTTTAAGAGAAATGAGCTGGGAACACATTTTTCAGTCTGGTTCCTTTGATTGGAGTTTACAGTTGAAATCACCAAAATTAAGACCCAAGTAGCATATTAATAAAGATGGTTTATTGAGTTACATGCCATTCATTGAAAACTAGGATCACCACATGTAAGAAAGTTTTTAAGTGACTAAATGGTTAATTTCTTATATTATTTAAAGTACTTAACATTAAGGCAAATATTTAATTATACTCTGAATCTTCAAATAAACTAGCTAAAATTTATATGTTAAAACAAATTAAAGTCTTATCAAATTCAAGAACTTTTTTTTTTTGCTTGCTAAGGAAGAAGGAGTAATGCTACTTCCTGTTCCCCATTAACAATAAATCAATTACCCACAGTTCCAAATTCATGATGGTGCATACTATGGCTTACTTGGTTTTACTCTACTCCCCAAATGCATTCAGAAAATACTCTACTTTGAATTGTGATCTTTTTCTGGGCCCGCGTATGCTGCTTTCTCAGGATGCTGGGCAGTAGCTGTGAGCAGCAGGTTCGGGTTAGTCATGTGACCAAAAGGTAAACAAACATCTCTTGTTCCACAGTGCACCGTGTGGATAAGTGTGAAGTTTGACAGGCTGAATGTCATTAGTAATATTTTCACTTAAGATGGTTTTATAAAGGTGAATCCCTGCCTGCCTGTGAACCAAGGAGCTGCTGTACCTCCCTTCACTCTTCCTAAGAGAGCATGAAAATCCCATCAACACAGTCTTACAGTTTTATCTCCTCTAACATTATCTGATCATAAATTTCTTTGGTCAATGGGACGTAAGATTTTTTTAAGTTGTCCATAAAGTAAAGTGGGTCAGAAATTTTCAGTGGATTAAATCCTTCTTCCACCAGCTGGAATTTCTGTAGTTTGAATGTCCCTGTTGTTTCCATCTTTTTCTGGAAAACAATGACCAGGATAAATGGAATAACTTTCTGTCAACAACAGCCATCACATGTCAATAAAATGGCTAACAGCATGGTCCACAATAATTCATTACAATGTTTTATATCAAATGATCTTTACACTTACTATTAATTTAATATTGGAAATACAGAAGTTTTATTTATCTGTAAAGGTTATTAAAGTATATGCTTACTCAATGTCAAAATTATTAACATAATCCTTTATCTTCATGTCAATACAATATTATGCATATACAGTCCTATAAGAGTTAAACACTTAAAAGACAAAAACTGATAACACAAGTTTTCTAGTGAGGTTCTGATCTCTGTAGTAGAGCGAAAATACGGGGTTAGATTAATTCCAGCTGTAACTGAGTACTGTCACATTGAAAATTTTTGTTGTTATTGGCAAAAATGCCTTGTTGAAAACATCCTAGGTTTTCCAATGTTGTTTTTATATTCATCTATAGTTTCAGTTCTGTACCCAGCAGAGCATTCATAACTAGAATTCATTGTTAGATAAATATTTTGAGTGCTGATTTGCTGATTGAGTATCAAGCTTTAAGTGTCAGGCTCTGTGCTAATCATAGCAAATAAAGTAAGAATCATAAAAGCCAATGTTCTTCCTAGATAATTAATGACATAAAAGTATTTTCTAAACTTGTGTAATGCTGATCTAGTTTACTAGAATATATCTTCTGTTTAATGAGAGTAAATGCTAAGTCACACGAGAATAAAAGACTTAAAATATTACTGGCTATATCTACTTCCAATTCCATCAAAATGTATTTCTTTTGGGGTAGGGAAGGAGAGACGGGAGGAAGTGGGGAGTGGTTAGTGGACCGTATGAAGCATGCTTGCGTTGCTGGAAATGGTCACATCTTCACTTGGTCAAGGAGCCTGAAGCTGCCCAGAAGATACTGTTTAGAAAACATACCACATAATATGTGCATATACAAGTGACAGAGGAAATTTAGTTAGTTTGTACTGATATTTTGGTTTGTTAGGTCTTAGGTCAAACTAGGTAAAAGATATATAGGATGTCTGTGCTATTCATACTTAAAACTAGCTGTTAACCCACATGCTTATCAATACAAATTTCAATTACTATATATACATTGCTCCTGTTTCACACTTAATTGCCTTTAGTATTTCAGAGGACTCTTATGAAAATAATATGAAACAATATATTCAAAACTCTTAAAGATAAAAATGTGCAGATGATGGGGCTAGAGAGCTGGTTCAGCAGTTGAGCACTGGGCAGAGGACCTGGGTTCAATTCCCAGCACCCTCATGGTGACTGACGACCATTTGTAACTCCAGTTTCAGGGGGAATTTGATGCCCTTTTCTGACCTCTGCAGGCATTGCATGGCATGGGTGCACTTATACACATGTAGGCAATACACTCATACACATAAAATAAAAATAATAAATGAAATATTTTTAAAAATATGCAGAAGAAATCTAACAAATTTAGATGACATGTCCTTTGAATAGGCAGTAAGCATTGATTTAGACATTGGCTGTGTTTTGCTCCATTGGTTATCTAATAATGATATAACCAAAATATCCTGAAAAATTCTGTGTGTTAGGGTATTAGAAGAGAAAAACTACTAACTTTGGGAAATTATATTTGAGGCACAATATTAAATAATTAAGTAATACAACCAGTAAAGTCACCCAGTGGCTGAGTAAATTGTTGTTTAAAACACTCCTACCAGTAATTCAACAAATAAATGAACTCAGGGGGAGGGGGTTGAGCAAAAAGAGGAGGAGGAGGAGGAGGAAAAGGAGGAGGACAGACGGGGAAGAGGTGTGGAGAGGGAAGGGGAGGGATAGAATTTCATCACACCTTCTTAAGTAGAGTTCGAATACATCAGCAATTAGCACCAACTCTACTTTCCTCCTCCCTTTTTACTCTTGAAATTTTCTAATATAAATAAAATACATACAATATCTAAAGGAGACAGTATTATTTTGTGACTTGAACCACCTCTTGTTTCCTGGTCTTACATTTGAGAATGAATCTAGACTGTAAAACTTACCTGAATTCTTAAAAATCGTGGGCAGGCATACGCTGGTAAAGATGTAACAACTTGGTCATAAATTTTTTCTATGTCTAAAGACTTGTTTGGTTTTAGAATAATAGAAGTCATTCCCACTTTTCCTTCATAGCCTGGAAAAAATGGAAGTGAAATCAATTTATTATTAAACTAGGTAAATTTTCAAAAACAGTCCTGCTTAATACTCACTGCCACAGAGACACAAGTCTGTTAAGGGGTACTAATGCAATAGTAATATAAGTCATTTTCCCTGATATATGATTTAATCCCTAGAAACACTTTAAAATTAGAGAAAGCTGTGGTTTATCTCCAACTGTCTACACTACAGAAATGAAAATGATGCATATATTACACATAATTTGCATTCTAGCAACACTACCACAAGTATTTCAAAAGAAAACATTTATTCAAAGGTAAACATAATCCAGAAAAGGTTCAAAGTAGAAATTGCTATTTAAATGGACTGAGTCTACAATTGCCTACTGCCAGTGATGCCACCTGCAGATCTGGGAGGGTTGAAACCTTTCTCAGGTATCCGGTGACTGTTGCTGAACTTGCATCTCCTTCCTCTGCTCTCCTGTCCAGACACTTCCACGCCTGGCTGCCCTCTACCCACAGCATTAGCTGGAAATTATCATTTGTTTAAAAGGACACACTTAAATATAAGTAGTGTTCTTAAACATTTAAACTAGAACATATTCCTACTTAGTCGAATGCACTACCACTAGTTATAACAAGAAGAATAATGATTTTTGAAAAGCATCAGCTCTTTAAAGCAGTGTCACTGACCAGGTTGTCCAGCTCTGCCTAAAAGCAAAGATACTAAAATTCATTTGGTGCTTTCCTGCAATGTGTCCATAAAGTTTGTTAGCTTAATCAAGGGCATTACTTGCCAAGAAAAGATGAACATATTTATTTCAATATGCAAAATTTAAAATTTAAAATTCAATATGCAAATTATTTTTAAAATATTTTATTTATTTATTTTTATGTGTATGAGTGTTTTGCCTGAAGTATGTAAGCACATCCATGTCTTGCAATGCCCGCAGAAAGCAGAAGTCAGAAGAGGCCAGAAGAGGGCATCGTATTCCCTGGAACTGGAGTTACCAAAGATTCTTAGCCACTGTAAGGGTGTGGGGAATTGAACCCAGGTCCTCTGCAAGAGCAGTCAGTCTTCTTAATTAATCACTGAGCCATCTCCGTAGCCCTTAAAAAACAATTTAAAGCCTAAAAAAGGCTTGCACATTCTTTTCTACAGTTCTCAAAACTATGCGTACCTGACACGGCCACGCCATACACGTTCGCCTCCTGTATGAAGTCCAACCTCCCAATGACATCCGCAACCTCTGTGGTAGCAACGTTTTCTCCCTTCCACCTGAACGACAAATGGGTTCTAGTCAGCCTGCTTGTGACTGGAGGACTAGCACCCGCCTCAATCTTACTGATTTGCCTTTATAGGTGTGACGCACCAGATGGCCAAAAATAGCTAGTTTTTGAGCAAAAGACATTTCTCAGGAAGCACTTTGTTGGTAATTTGATAAAATTGGAATCTGTTGTTTGGTCAAAATTACTTTCAGTTTTATTGACATACAATTCTCACTGTAAATGTTTAACAAAATAACTGTTTATCAAAATAATAAAAATTAAGTTTAAAACTTTATTTTTAACTCATTATCTCTGGTAATAGCAATACAAAGAATTGAAAGAAACACTATAGTTACCTTTCAGTATCTTAACTCACTTTAATTTCTAGCTACTTGTTCCTTTGGGCCCTTCATTTTAAAGAAAATAATCTTTATAGAAGATAAGCTTTTGACACAGCACTTACTTATGATTATCATTCATTCAAGCACTTGCTGAATGCTTACACTTGAATATTCTATTGTTATTGAATAACAAAGCCAAACAATTTTATAGCTAGTTCTAAAATAAGCTTAAGAAATTAGGAAAAAAGGTGAAAATTGGGGAAATTTTCAGTTTCAGTATGTTTTTAATCATTATATGAAGAACTATGTCAGGGCTGGCTGGATAGCTCAGTGGGTAAGGGCGCTTGCCACCATACTTGCTGACCAGAGTTCAAGTTCTGGAATCCACATGGTAGAAGGAGAGAGTTCCTGCAAGTTGTTCTGTGACTTTCCCCTAGCCCCCCATGAAATAGAGAAATAAAAGGGGAGAGGGGGAGAGAGAGAGAGAGAGAGAGAGAGAGAGAGAGAGAGAGAGAGAGAGAGAGAGAGAGAGAGAGAGAGAGCTCAGCTTTGACTCAGTGACTTCCTTTTTAAACTCCTACTCCTATACTTCACAAACTTCTACTTTCATAATGTTAAAGGAAGAGTTCATTGATTTGGTGTAAATTGACTCATTAAAAACAAACTTTTACATCAAAATTCAACTTATAGTTCAGTCTAGAAACAGAGGGTCAATGACTTTTTAGGTGGGGAAGCATTACAGAGATAAAAAGAGCTGTGTTCTGAGGGGACAGGACCAGTATCTGCGGGCCCCACAGGCTGATTCACAACCACAGGACAAGCTAAGCATGGAGGGCTGTTCCTACCTGAAAGTGTCTCCAATACGGTCCCAAAAATAAAGGAAATTCTCCTGGTCTTGGACCATTAAGTCTCCTGTGTTGAAGTAAACATCTCCCTTCTTAAAAACATCAAAGAGCAGTTTGTTTTTTGTGTGCCTAGAAGAGCCAGCATAACCAAAGAAGGGATTCTTCATGTTCACACGAGAAACGAGAAGTCCCGGTTCTCCTGTGAGAGAAAAGGGCAGTTGCAGCCGGTTTACCTTACAGGCATTGCTACACACAGCACAGTTTCTCCATTCTCTCAGGCCAACATAGCCTGCTGGTCCTCTTATTCCCTGTACTTGTTTCCATTCGATTTAGTGTCATTTATTCTTGGTTTCTATTCAGTGCATCTTTTTACAAATAACTTTGGAAAACACCGCATGCAAAGGAAAAGTGAATTTAATATTTTATATTCGGGCTTCACAGACTACGGGCTACTTGTGTTTTGAATTACACTAATTTTAATTCAACTAATACTGAGAGCACTCAGCTCAATAATTCAAATAAAAGAATAACAAAAGTATATATTAGACAGTAACCATGACCGCTATGAAATTCTCACTGTATTTATTTTTGCAGAAATTATTTGAAACTGACATTACAATTCTATTTTCATAAGAAAAAAAAACCTAATGTCCAAAGGGATGAAGCAAGCTGTCAAAATCAGAAAAAAAAAATAGATTTAGAATGCAAAATCAAGTCTCTAAAATCTGCAGCAAAGTTTCTGTAAAACAGTCTCATCCAAACAGCATATTATTAGAAATTTAAAAGATGGTATGTTCCTCTGGGATGCTATTTTGGAAATCCTTGAAGGGAAGTGGAGGACAATGAAAAGTGCTCCCACCACAGGAAACCTCTTAGTTCCACTTATGTTTAGACACTTATCTGAAATAATTATTCCAGTCAAGCTTACTTAATCAAGATTGTGCTCAGCAACCTGCAAGGTAAAAGTTACTTCTAAGACAAGTTGAAATAAAGCCAAGCAGCAATCACTGTCATCCTCAAGGTCACTGTTGACTTCTTGTTTGCATGCTGGGATGAGACACAGTATTCACAGGCTCTGGCTCAGCAGCAGGGGCTGATCAGTAGCAAACTGTCAAAAAATTTCTGTCATTTTAACACCATTTCTCCCACTCTTCCCTGTCAGAAGAGGCCATCAGATCCCCTGGAACTGGAGTTAGGGGCGGTTATTAGCTGCCATGTGTGTGCTGGGAATAGAACCAGGTCTTCTGCCAGAGCAACCAGTGTTCTAACCACTGAGCCATCTCTCCAGCCTCCAGGGGCCCCTGCTTTTATCAAATTTTTTCAACTCAAATTTTAAGAAAGTCTGCCTTTGGAGAGAAGGGGAGTGAAAGAGAGAAGAGAGAGAAAGACAACAAACTTCAAGGGCTTGTATGTGATTGAATTGTCCCCAGGCTCCTCCTGAAATAAAGTGTCATTTTTATTGTGCAAGTGAAGGAGACACAGATTGTTTATCCTGCCCACAGATACATGGTTCCTAAGTGAAGAAGCACAAATTTAAATCAGAGGTGATCTGATTTCTCACTGCACTGAGGATGAAGAATTAATTTAATACTGTTTGATGTTAAATGATATTAAACATATACCATGATTACAAACTAGATGTGTAAATTAAGAAAAATATAAGTCAAAACTAACCACTTCAGAATTCCAATTTACCATGTAAAGGACCCAATTAGGGCTTAACATCCAATAATTAAACCATTCCACCTGCATTAAAATTCCACATAAGTCAAACTACATTCGAATTAATCATTCTTCATCTAAACTCAGCACTAGTTTCATACAAAACTAGATACTTTGCTTAAGATAGCATCGTTAAAAATCAGTCTTACCCTTTTTTACAGGACGACACCAGCCCCATTCATTTCTCATTGGTTCGTCTTTCTGAAAATTGTACTGTATCAGCTCAAAAGGGAAAAAAAGCTGCAAAACCAAAATCAAGCAGAAGGTTTTAGTTACTTGTGCAGTAAGGTGCGGCACAAAAATTGGAATGTGGCTTTATGAAAACATGTTACTGACAAAAAATTAAACAAACATTTAAAATCAAAGCTGAGGGCCTTAGGGAACAGTCCTCCATAACTGATATTTTTTATTTCCTTCACGCTTTGCTTCACCTCAGTATTATTAGGTTTTGCTCACAAGTGTGTGATACCAAAAAACAGAAGCTGTCTACCCTGCAATTACAGATTCTTCTAACTATAGGCAGGAGGACCTGTTGTGCAGTCATTCAAAACATCTTTCAAAAAGGGAAGTTTTAACAGAACTAAACTGTAAATTATTTCAATGTCAGGATCTTTTGTTGTTATTTATTTATTTTTGGCTTTTTGAAGCAGGGTCTCCCTGTAGTCCCAGCTGTCCTGGAACTCATTATGTAGACCAGGCTGGCTTTGAACTCACAGAGATCCACTTGCCTCTGCCTCCCAAGGGCTGGGACTGCAGGTGAGTGCCACCATGCCCTGCTAATGTTGTTTTTTTACCTCATGGCCTCTACAAAAGTGATCAAATGCCTAAAGGGTGGCTTGACAGCATTTGATTTTTTTCCTTGGGCTTCTCACATCAATTCCCCTAAGCTAACACTCAGTACTTCCGTGCACTGTTGTGGCATGAGGTGAGTTTATAAGGATGGCCCCCTCACTTCAGCACCCAAGCTAACTGGCCATTTCCCCAGGCCCAGGTAGGCCCAGCTTCCCTACCCTACTGTGCTGTTTGACCACCTGTCCTGACACACTGATTCTATCAGTTCTGACCCAGGGTGAGAACAGCAAATTGCTTCATTCCAATGCCCTCATTTCATATATAAGAAAGGTGAAGTTTAATTGGTCATTTAAACATGTAATCTTATTAAACTGGATTAGAAAATTTAATATGGAGGTAATGAAGTAAGATAAAATAATAAGGGACGTCAAATAGAGAAAGAGAGAGAGAGAGAACAAAAATGCACAATGGAGAACAAGTAAATGCAAAAGAATAAAATCACTATCACAAATATGGTATTAATGTTAAAGAATGAAAGCAGCATGCAATTAGGACCATAATTCACCATTCAAGTTTTAAAAATTTTGTTTATTGAGTGTGTGTGTCAGGGGGAGGAGGGGGGAATGTGTGTGCCGTGGTGCATGTGCAGGTCAGAAGACAATTTTCAGGAGTTGATTCTCTCTTTCTGCCATGTGGGACCTCGGAACTGAACTCTGGTCATCAGGTCAGGTTTGGTGATACGTGCCTTTACACACTTAAGCCATCTTACCATTCCCCAAATTCATCATTTTAATTCAATATAAATGACAACAGCTAAGATCAAGTAACACTTTATGCAAATACAGTTCTAAGATCTTAAGAGTTCTCTTGAATTTAAGCATGAAGGTACTGTAAGAGGAAGGGCCTAATGTTAATGGAAATTTGAAGATTAGGGCCAATGGAAGAGGGTGCAAGAAAATATACTATTCTTCATGTGCTGGATAACTTCAGTATCAACTTGACACACCTGGGTGGAGGGAGCTTCAGTTAGGGAATTGCCTCCCTTGGACTGCCCTGTGGTCCTGTCTGTGGGGCATCTTCTTGATTGTTGAGTGATGTGGGAGTGCCCAGCCCACTGCGGGTGATGCCACCGCTGGGCAGGTGGGCCTGTGTTGCAATCTGAGCATGGGCCAGGGGAGCAAGCCAGCAGGCAGCGTTCCTCTATGGCCTGTCCTTCAGCTCCTGCCTTCAAGTTCCTGCCCTGAGTTCCTACCTTGGGCTCCCACAGTGACGAACTGTGACCTGGGAGCTATAACCCAAATAAACCGCCCCACCCCCCAGTTAGTTTTGGTCAGTGTTTTCATCACAGCAATGTGAAATCAAACTAGAACAGGTCACATCAAATTATTATTGAAAAGTTTTTATTATGTTGGCCTTTGGCATTGCAATAACCTGATATTGTTATTCTTGCCCTGTGCAGTACTATTCTTGATAGGAATACATCATTTGTCTAAGATACGTAGGGCAACTAGATAGCAACAATGTGATTTTAAAAGGGATCTCTAAGTGATGTAGGATATGGGTTTGGACAATTCAGCTTCATCCTGAGAAGAGGAAATGGAAGTCAGCTGTATGGGTGGCAGAGCTGCTCTGCTTTCAGAAAAGAAGATAGTCACAAGCCTTTTGTGTCTCCTGGATTCTGCCTGAGCTCGCCCTTGGCTGTTTTAATCTGTCTTTAGTTGTGATGAATAAGCTGTAACCTTGAATGTGACAGCTCTGTGAGTCTGAAGGATCCCTGAAATTTCAATTGATGTCAGAAAAGAAGGTGTTCTTATGTGGAATGTTCTCTAACTTTGCATTTGGTTAACTTTGCTCATGCCTGAAGATGCTCACTTTCACAAAGGTGCAACAACTTGAAAAGATGTGAAGAAATGTTTTTGGTTTTTTTGATAATGCCGTGTTTTATCTTCATATTGCATGCTCAGATTTACCACTGAGAGCTAGGAGAAACACCACTTACACTTCCTACTCTCCCCTCCCCTGCATCTTATATGTCCGTAATACAACTTTTGAAATATTTTCAGACTTTTTCCATTTAGAGACATAATGAGTATCTATTCAATCTTCTGTTTTTAACTGCATTTGATGCTGATCATCAAACCTTTTTAATTAATGATTTCTTCTTTCTTAATAAGAAATACAAACATTTTTATTCTCTTTTTGTTAAATTCTTTGTTTTTTTTTTTGTCTTACACTCCACATTTTGTGTTTTGAGAGATGTCTGTGCTGTGTTCCACTTTCGCTATGTTATAATTTGTACACACTGTGTGTGTGTGTGTGTGTGTGTGTGTGTGTGTGTTTCTGCCTTAGCACAACTCTGTTCTTTATGTTTTGCTCATTAATTTCACCAGGGTAAGGGTACACTTTACTGGTTTTTATTCTGTACTATACTTCATTTCCTGGACTATAGTGTGCTCTTCTTCTAATCTTTATGGAAGTTTTACTCTATTATAACTCAAATAATTATTTTTCTTTGTGACCAGCTCTTTTCTGCAAGAACAACAGCTAAGCACATGTAAAAGCATTATCTATACCTAAGCTATATATTTTCTTTATATTATTGTGTTCGTGCATGACTCTTTAATCACAACATCTCATCATCTCCCAAAAGATGTTTACAATATGTTTTTCTTTAAAGTTCTTTAATGTGGTGATTGTTTTGTAATATATTCATTTTTCTTCATTTTTTTCTTTGATTTGACCATACTTATTTCTCAATTCCTTTCTTGAGTTATTTTTTCCTTGAATTTTCCTCTCTTTTTGAGCCTATGGCAAAGTATTTTCCTAAGTATTTCTTAGCCATTTTGAAGCACTGTTTTGATAAGATTTGTATTTTTTCAGCTGGCTTTTTATACTTATTTTCTCTCCCTTTCAAAGCCCGATTCCTCCACAAGTTTCACATTTACCACTTCCTAATTGTTTTCTCCTTATGAAATTGCCACAAGAAAGGAGGAAGCTGCCCATAACTTTGATTCCAGTTTGTTTCACACATATATTGTCTCCAAATTTCTACATTGCGTGTGGTAGGGACATTTATGGGACACCACATCTTGGGTTTACGCACTTAATGGGAGGTGTTGCAGCTCTAAGTGTCTTGGAGTTACAGGAGCTCCACACTGTTGTGTAATTTCTCCTTTATTCAGAACATTCTTTCTCTAGTTGGAGGTTGATTCCTTTCTAAACAGTAAGCATTAGCCTCTGTTGGATTTCAAGTTTTGAGAGATTCTTATAAATTACCTTACTTAATTCTGAAACAATTATTGCATATTTTTATTACTTGCCTTATCCAGAAACATGTAGCTGAAATGATGAAAACACAGTGTAGAGTTCATATGGATTAGGTTTAACTTTTAAAAATTATACATTTCATTAATTTCTTTGAGAATTTCATGCCACTCATTTTGGTCACATGTACTCCCTTGTCATCTCCTCTCAGATCCACCCCCACCTCCCTATCCACCCAACCCACCCAACTCAGGTCCTTTTTCTATTTTTAAAGTCCATCATATACTCTTTAGAGCAGGTCTATCCCCTGTAGGTTGACTGTACAACTTAAATTTTTTAAAACTATAAACAACTGAAGCAAAAAGAGTTGAAAATCAGTATTTTTCAAATAAATGGAGACAGTCATGATGTTTTATGTTATCGACATTATGACCATCTGAAAGGAGGGAATCACAATGAATGAGGTCAAGTCAGCAGCATGAAACAGCCATCTTCATCACACACTTGTTGGACATTACCTCAGCTTCAGAAAGGATCTTCATGCAAGTACCAATTAACCTCGGGCAGTACAGGACTTAGTAACCAGCACTGATTCTAAAAATACAGCTGATCAGAATGCATGAGGACTATGGTCTGTCAGCTACACACTCAAATGCCTAGAATGCACTATAAATAGTTTGTACCTACTTTAGGTTTAAAACATGAGCCTGGTTTATGCCAGCTTTGAATGGGCAACTTGACAAAAAAGGTGAGCTGCTTCCAGATACTGAAATAGCCACCCTGGGCTAGAAAGACAAACTTTGTTGTTGTTGTTTCCTCTTTTACTCAGTGATGTTGACTATACAGAAATCTCTTCTACAAAACTAAAGAAGTGAGGATGCCAGTAACACAGGTTACCACAGTTTATGCAGGCGTTCTTACAAGTCTTACAAACCCAAGTGGTGTGAGTAGGGGGCTATGTAGTCCTCAGGGGGCAAAGCACACCAGAGCCCAGAGATGGCTGGTGTGATGGCTAATCTCAAGGGTCAGTTTGACTGGATCTGGGATTAACTGAAATGAGAGAGCCTTTCTTGATTGGATCTTCTGAAGCTGGACGACCCACCCTAATTGTGGGTGTTACCTTCTGTTGGTAGCTCATATAAAAGGCCATGGCAGAAGGGAGCGCTTGCTTTTTTACCACTTGCCTTCTCTCTCACTGGTGAGTTTGTCTTGCTGCTGTGACCAGTTTCTTTGGATTCCAACATAGACTGAAGACCAGCGGATCTCCCAGAACTCATCAAGTCTTCTGCACTAGATTCGGACTACCGAGACATCCAGCCTCATGGACTGAGTAACTACTGATTCTCAGCCTCTCCAGGGTGGTGCAGCCATTGTTGGACTACTAGAACTCTATCCTGGGAGCTAATCTAATAAACACACACACACACACACACACACACACACACACACACGTGTGTGTATATAATCATCCTACTGCTTCTGTTTCTTTAGAGAACCCTGATTAATATAGCTGGGCAGTGGAGTCTTTTCTCTGTACATGAGCACGTGTGGTTGTCCAGCCTGTCAGCTTCTACCTATCAGCTCAGAAGTCAGGAAGTGAGCTGGGAAGTTTGTTCCGCTGCTTTTTCATTCTTTGGAACAGTTTGCAAGATTAAAAATGTTTATCATTTGAAAATTTGGCCCACTTGACAGAAAGGCTACCTTGGAATAAGAGGAAGATTTAGGTTATAAATTCATGTTATATACTATGATGTACTAACTCAAGTTAGTACTATTAAATTGTATTTGGATTTCTAGAAATTATTCCAATTCATCTAATAGTTTTAAATGTCCTGGTGTAGTGTCATTCAATTTGAGCTCTTATTATTGTTTTAATACTTAAAACAGCTGTAATGATATCATGATTATACTCAACCATTCCAAATCTATTTCTTTAAATGACCATTTTACATTTCTTTTGACATCCCTCACAAGCCATTTTTATTCATTGATTTCTGATCTATATCTTTTTATTTCTTTGAGTTTAGTTGTTTGGTAGAGATACATATTTATCAACCTCCAGCCAGTCTTCAGCTGAGGGTTCTTAGCCGAATCCATAAGTTTTTAAACATAGCATTTTCATTCTAATTCAACCCATAATATCTTTCTAGTTTTCATTATGATTTTTTTCTTTGGACTATAACAATTTAGAAATGTTTTATTTATAAATGCATAGATTATATGGCTGTCTTTTAAAATTATTTCTAATGTAAACTATTGCTGGAGAAGGTAATCCATATATAATCAATTCTTTGAGAATTGTTGAAATTTCCTAAGTAGCACAGTAATGTATGTTAATGTTTTCCAAGTGCTTGAAAGGAATGCGCTTTGTATAGCAAATAGATACAGGGTCCTATATATGTCAGTTTAAATAGCTTGTTTACTATATTATTCAAAAATTCTACATCATTTGAAATTTTGCTCATTTTTCTTTGAGGTGTTTTAAAACAAATTTTGCTTTAGAAATTTTGAGGTTTTTATTAAAAATTTTCACTTTTATTCTTAAGATTTTTAAAAATTATGTGTCTGTGTGTGTGTGTGTGTGTGTGTGTGTGTGTGTGTGAGTGAATACCACTTTTTTGGGTGACCCAAGGAGGCCAGAAGAGGGTGTTCAATCTCTTGGAGCTGGTTGTGAGCTGTCCAACATGTGTACTTAGAACAAAACCCAGGGTCTCTGGAAGGGCAGTGAGGGCTCTTATGTATTGGCCATCTCTCCAGACCTTGTCTTTATTCTTAAAAATTACTATTGTTGTGTATTGGACACCTATACAAATTATGTATGGCATAAATGATAAAAATAAGGAGAAATTGTCAAAGAAAAAATACTCTATAGTAATACAAAGAGACTTCTTTAAGACTTCTACTTGCTCCTAAAATAGTAAACTGGAAGATAGAACAAAATTAGACATAATTGCATTCACATTATAGACAGAGGTTTGCATACTCTGTCACAGCCCAGCTCACCCACAACCCCTGCTTTCTTTGCAAATGTTCTCAACTTCTAAAAAGTGAAAGAAAGTTTCACAATTTAGAAGCCTGAGGTCCAGAAAAGAATGTGTAGATCTTGGTGTATTTTTTATAAAGAAAATATTATACTTACTTTATAAAAGAAATTTGTTCTCCCGACTGATCCAACTTTCCCAGTATGGTTCATGAAGCATATGTTCCCCTCTGTAGCTCCATAAAATTCGCACATCTTAATATTTCCAAATCTGTCTAAAAACTGTCTCCACACATCACCCCGCATACCATTTCCGACTGCCAAACGCACCCAATGATCCTTTTCCCCGTCTCTCTGTTAGAAAAAAAAAAAAAAAAAGACTATCTGTAGTTAATTCTACTTTGCCATGCTCTCTTTTATTATTGTTATTTAAATGGTGACTGTTCCACAAGTAAGCTGTGTATGTGCAGTGACAAGCAGAGAGGCAAGAAGAAGTCACAGCATTCTGGTAGAACATTGGGCAAGAGGATTATAGCTTATACTTCTCCATATCCTGAATAAAAAGCCTGTCATAAGTGAAAATTACTGAAAGTTCTTTGTGGGTGGGGATACAAGTAAGGAGGAGGTGTATTTCAGGCAGAACATTACTTTCATGTTAATATGGAGCATGTTTAAGTTTTTCCCCAGTTCTATCATTTATTATCTATATAATTTTGAACAGGATATTGATTCCCACTCTGATTTTGTTTATCTATAGCTATTTTTGAGACGATAACAGCTATCATTTATACAGGGCAACCTACAGTTAATTGCCAATGCCTAACACAAGGAACTGTTATTAAAGCCACAGAAGCAATGTGACATTTGCCTTGAAAATATAACTGGATGTAACTAGTATTTTAGGATGCACAATATTCTCACTTTTTTTTTGACTTTCAAACTAGGAGAAAAACAGATTTTGCTCTGTGTTCAATAAGCATTAACATGAATTATGCACATTTAAGTTAAAATAGGAATATGTTATCATTGAAATTGTAGCAAACCCGTAATTTCCTCAGAACTATCTCTGAATAATATATAAAAGTAAAAGGAAATAAGTGGAAGTAATAACAAAGCACCAAGGATAAAACAGCAAGATTAATGATCCTGGTACTATAATTTAATATGATCAATTAGTCAGCATGACTCGATCTCCAAGCACCACCAAAATGGTTTTGAAGGAATAATTTTAATCTATAAACTCTCTAGAACAATGACAAGTAAATGAGAGGTGACTCTGGAAACTTAAAAGTAAATGGATAGCAAGCTCCTTGCCTGAGAAGATTGGAGGGGGATCCCTAACTAAGCCTGCAGGTGGACACCAACAAATGTGCCTCAGCTGTCAAGAAGTCAGCAGAAAGGATGAGGAAGGTGTCAAGCTTGCCTAGGAATCTTCCTGCTGCTCCACACTGTGGACATGCTGGGGGAGTTACTCTCTGAATTCCCCACAGACCGACACTTGGTTGGGTTGAGAAGCACGTTAAACAGTAGAGTTCAATGACAGTTCATTCATGAAATCACCTGTACCTTGCCCTAGTAAGAATCCTATGACACAGGATTATAAACAAGAGCAGGAAACTTGAATTATGAGAAAAACCAGTCAAGCTAAGAGAAAATAAGCCAACTTTTGGAAGTGCCTCATTAAAATGGCTCGATCTCTCTTCAGTCATCCTAGAATCTGACCCCTTTGGTGCCAAACACCAGCCATGTGTAGTTAGATCTAAATACCCATTCTGAAATATGGTGAAGGGAAAATGCTTTTAAAAGTATGAAACTTTCAAATGCATAATACACAAAGCCCAACTATGTACTGCTTATAAGAAACACATCTTAAATGTCAGATGTGATGGTTAGAGCTAGCCCTCAGCTTTGTAGATCTAGAATCGCTGGGAGATCAGTTTCTTAGCCTGCCTGAGAGGGATTATACTGATTGCATCACCTGATGTGAAAGACCTATATTAATCATGGGTGGGATCATTCCCTTGGCAGGTGATCCTGGTCTGTGTACGTGCAGTGAGGGAGCCAAGCAGCAGCATGCACACATCCACTGCTCCCTTCTAACCATGAGCATGTGTGACCAGCTGCTCTGCTGTGCTCCTAGTCCATGACTTTCCCTGCATGATGGACTGGACCATGAAGTGTGAGCTAAAACAAACCCTTTCACCATGAAATTGCTTTTGTCATAGTATTTTATCATAACAATAGGAAAAAGACTATAACATTAGATGATACAAAAATAGACAGTAGTCAGATGGTAAAAGAAATGCCTATAGCCAGCACCCAGCATCCAGCACCCAGTACCCAGCACCAGCACCCAGCACCCAGGAAGAAGCTCATAGAAGGGTACTAATACCCTGTAGAGTTGGCTTTAAATAAGATTTTTTTTGCAAAGGAGGCATTTAACAATATTAAATTAAAATAACATTATTTTATTTATTATTAACTAATAATAGCAAATAGTTCATCAGAAGGATGACAATCATATATTTCAATTTGTCAAATAAAACTGTCAAGAAAATAAACTAAAAAGTTAACAGATTAAAAAAGAGAAATAGATAAATCCATTGCTAGTTTATCTCTCTGTATACTGAGAAAACAAGCAGAAAAAGAATCAAGATTAGAGAAGCTTGAAAATTCATCACTTTGATGTACTTTATGCAACATTATGATAGATCACTGGGCACTACTCAGTCTTTTCCAGTGCCCATAAAACCTTCAGCAAAACACAGCAATCACATATTGGGCCTTATAACAAATCTTAATCAAATTGAAAGCACCATCTGATACTAATTATACAAAGAAATCTAGAAAGTCTCCCATGTTTAGAGAATAACACAATTTTAAACAACCTGTGAGCAAAAGGAAAAACATCACCATGGAAATTAGAAGCACTTTTAAACTGAAAAGAAAAACAAGACAAAATTATGGCATGCAGCAAAAGCAGTATTTTGAAGAAAACTCATAGTGTTAACGGAGAACTATTAAAAAATTTCTCCCATACACCACAAACACAAAATCAGTAAGAAAAAGAAAGATACCACACAGATAACCAGACAAAAGTTGATTTTGAGACAAATTTCATTACATAAATGCATTTGTGTATATTTATGTGTGTGTATATATATTTTGCACCTATATATACATGGTCCAATATACAGTCTGATTCAGGGATGTGTCATAGCAAATAATATGTATTAAGTAAATTATATAGTATACTTATAAAAAGTCTAATGCATATGAGTGTATATGTGTAAGTATATGTCTGTGCATGCACATTTTCAGAGCTGTAATTATAATAATATGTAGTTATTAATATAAATATAATTAATAATATGTCAGACTACCCTTTCAATTTGTGTGGCAATCAGTCTCTAGAGCTAGGTACAGTATATCTCTGGGAGTCCCATTCCATAATAAGGCAGTCTCCCTTTCCTGGGAGAAAATTTGAAGTTTAAAGGAAGTGCTGATTTGCCAGTAGCCCCTTCAGTGACCAGACCTCCCCAAGTGGAGCATCCTTCAATGGTGGCACAGTCTCATGTCACAGACACACCATCTACCTGGGCTCACCTCTGTGCTGGCCATGTGGGACATGTGGGAACTGAAGACTGCTTCAGTCATGAGACATGAGCAGAGGTTTGTGATATCTTCTGTGCTGTAACAAGAAAACTATATAAACTAATTAGAGTGCCATTCCTTTAGCAGTTTTATGAAAGCTCCATGTTCTTGTTATCACTTAAGTGCTTGACAAAGCATTGAGCAGGTATCCCCCTGCCCACAAATCCAAGCATCTATCAAGTACATAAGGACATCATTAGTCATCAGAGAAATATAATTCAAAATGTCATTGGTTGACAATGAACATAAAAAAATAGCCACCTATTTATTCTTTAGCTCTATAAATTTCTACAAGTGTTGGCAAAGATTCAGGGCAAACTTGACTCTCTACAGGTTGTGGAGGAAGTTAGATATTATTGGTACCATCACTGTGACCAAAGATTTAGTAATAGCTACTGTTGCTAAACTTATGTAAGCAATCCAACCTACCAACTCCACTTCTGATTATATGCACATTGGCCAAAAGAGATATGTGAGTACGTATAGCATCATTAATGAAATCAAATCTCAAATGTAAGCAATCCAAACCCAACAACAGAAAAATGGATTTTTTTCAGAATGCCCTCTCACAGTGTCAGACTGGCCTTGTACTAGTTTTCTATTGCTGTCATGCAAATTGTCTCTGATGGAGCAGTTTAAAGCCTTACAAACTTATCCTCTCATCATTTATGTAGCCGTGAGTTGACAGCGGTACAAATGAAGGTGTGGGCTGGCTGGGCTCTTCTAGGATCCTTGGAGGTGTGCATTTCCAAGCTCACTCAGGTTTTTGGCAATCTGCCACCTTGAGGATGTGGTACTGGGGACTCTTCTCTGTGCTATCAACAGGGGTCTGCTTCTGGCCCTAGAAGCTGCTCCCCAGTCTTGTCACATGTGTCTTTATATATTAGAGAAGAAATGACACATCATTCTCCCAAACCATGCTTCCAACTTCCCTCTGTTGAAGCTTCCTTGGCTGTACCAAAGGGAGTTCTCTACTTTAAAATCTCACAACATTGCAATGCTTCTACCAGGGAAATGACCCTACTAGAACATTTGCACTGTCCCTTTTTCAATGTGTCTACTACACACTTGCTCAAGTCCAGAAGTTAGGACAGGGGCATCTTTGAGGAGCTTTATTTCTGTATTCTACAACTCTAAAGCAATGAAAGAAAATTAATGACTGCCACACACAAAACAAAGATGACTCTCACAGAGTGCTGAGTAAAAGAAGCAAGTCACTGGGATGCATAGGCATGCTTCACCTTAGATTCAGATTTTAAAATACAGGGTGGGGGCTGCAGAGACAGCTCAGTGGTTAAGAGGTGAAGAGCAATAGCTTCTCTTGAAGAAAACCTGAGTTTGGTTCCCATCATCCACATGGCTTAACAATCAGTTCCAGGGAATCTGATGCCCTCTTCTGGCCTCCATGGGAAGTGCATACATGGGTGTTCTTACATACACGCAGGCAAAACACTCATACACATAATAAAAATAAATAAATTGTCAAAATGCAGGACAAACTAGTTTATTGTGGCAGAAGTCAGAATATTATTTACATTTGGGAGGACAATGTCTGAAAAATATCTCTATGGGGATGGCTTCAATAAATAAACAAAATTAAACACTTAAAAGGCTTTGAAATTCTACTGAGAAATTTAAACTATAGTGGAGCGGCAGAGATGAATCAGTGGCAGAAGTACTAATAGGAAATTGAATATGAA